GGGGGGGGGGAGACAAACTGCTTTATAAACATATAAAGTGCTTGAGAATCCATTAAATTTTCATAAATAATCCATTATTTACGATACTCGAAATGATGCGATATGTAAACTATTGTTCCGAAATCGCGGATAGCATTACTCTCTTAAGCAATAAATATAAATTCAAAACCATGTGTCAATTCTCTGCTGTATTTATGTACACATTCCCTTTCTGCCATTGTGGTTGATATTTTGAATCAATTTAGCATATTTTCAAATCAAAAGGTTTGAAACCAGTTTTAATATTCTACGCATTGTTTTGCTAAATACGTCGCCGTATGCTAAGTTTCACTTAGTTGGGTACGAACGAAGTGATCGTCCGGGGAAGCGTGGATTAATTTAATTGATTTTTGAAAATTTTCAATACAAATATGTTTGAAGTGTTGTGATTTGTAACCTGACTGAAGCCATAAGCAAAAAATTTGTACACAGAATTAAAGCCTTGAAATTGTCATCTAAGAGAACCCAAGCAATTAATATTGTAAGCGGATAATTGCAAGCGGACTGATGTACTAATTGCACTGAGTTTTCAACGTACACCGATCAGAAGAAAAAAATAAAGAAAAGATTTTTCATTTAAATTAAATTTTGTTCAATTAATCGGAAATATAGCAGTCCATCACTGCTCATTCCTAGGTAATATAAATATCTTAACAATCTATTGCCGAGATTTTCTTTGTAATACTAGAACACAAAAATTTGAAATCTCTCAGTCTTTAAAATTAGGACTTCGCGTTTTCATTTGCTTTGTTATCCAAAATAGGTTTTTTAGTATTTGAAAAATCTGATCTTCGTCGGACTTGATTTTATAAAAGTTTTTTGCATTACGCTCAAATATTGCTTTGCATCTTCTTAGCACACGAGATGTTATTAAAGGAATGTCTCACGAATTGACAAAAGGCTTATCGATTGTTGATTACCACGTTATACCCAAGCGCGGACGAACTCCACCTCTATTGGCTACAATCAACTTTCATTTCTTTCCTTTTTCACTTTAAGTAACTTCTTAAAGGTAATATCTCCAGGCTGGTAGATTAGATGCTGCAACCTGGTGAACAGACAATTTATGTTTCGACTTCTTTCGCTGATGTCTACATTAATGCGAATTAGAGGATCGGTAATCAATTAAACATATTTATACCTTACATCATTTATGGTACAGGATATATTAAGTTAGCGCGGACGTATGTAACGCGCAGAGCGACTTAAGACAGACCCAGCTTTCATTATACCGGTCAATTCAGAATCATAATCTGCATTAATCTAAGCCCCCTAAGTCCGTCTGAAGTCTGTCCATGTAAATTTGTGTTCAAGCAACACGTCACAATTCTTGATATATTTTGATAAAACGATGATGATGAGAACGAACATTCTTAAAAATGGTTTTGATCGGATCACTTTTTCGAAAAAAATTTTAATTTTCAAAATTTCCCGTCAAAAATGGCTAAGCACTAATATTTCAGCATTCTAGAATGGTATGGAAACTTTGGACCGGCTAGGGCAATTTTTGAACCCCCTCTC